TATATGCATATATATATATATATATATATATATATATATATGCATATATTGCAATAGATGTAACATATCATTTCTAATCAACATCTTTAAATGAATATTTTTATATTTATCATTTTAATTTTGATTGTGTCATTCGTGATTGTAGTTTATTCCCTCATTAATGCTATTAAGTACACAGTCTTGTATCTTTATCTTTTTGTATGATTTTCAAATATATTTTCCTTCTAATCAAAGTTTGTAACGTTGTGATTCACCTTGTAGCTGGTTGGGTTGGTTCATTGCTTATAAAGACACTTTCATAAAGACTGAATTGCATTTAAGGAATGATAAAATAGCACAAAGATGATTTACCAATGCCAGTGCCAATATTTTTCTAGGGGGATTTTAAGAAACAGAATTATTTATTTCTTCAACCTCTTGCCTTTTACATCACAACAAACACATAGATTTCTTAGGGTTGATGTAGTTCCTTCAAACCAAACTAGGGTCAGAAGGGCATCTGGCAGTATATAATTGTTTAAGAATGTCTCTCCCTGCCTGTTTGGGTGTGTTGGTCAAATCATTTTGTTTTGTGTTTGTGAATTGCTGGCAGTGTACTAGTAAGGACACGCAAAGGACAAAATATCTAGCAAAACTGGAACATTTTCTGTGACTAATAAGGTATTCTGAGTGAGACATGTATAGGTATGATGCAAAGCAATTATTCCCTTATGACAATAAAAGAAAAAAACACACGCACGCGTGTACACAAACACACACACACACACACACATGTTTGTTTCTGTGAATTGTGGGGACTTTCCGTAGACTTCTATTACTTTTATACTGACCAAACAATATTTTCTATCCCCTAACCCTACACCTTACCCCTTACAGAAAACCTGTTTGCATTGTTACACTTACAGATAAACATCATTTACTATTTTTTATATATTTTTTCCCTCGTGGGGACCGCAGGCCGAAACAATGTCGCCAAACCCCCACAATGTCAAAAATTTCGTGTTTTACTATCCTTGCGGGGACATTTGGTCCCCACAATGTAGCATAAACAAGTACACACACACACAATTGTGTACAATTCTCCCCATTATAATCTATGCCATTTGAGAGGGATTTGCTACAAAGGAAACACGCAATTTTGCTCACAACTACGTCCTGACCAGTGTTGCCAGTTGCGTAACGCATGATCAAATAAGACTTCAGTTGTGCGTTGGATTACAGGAGAATAATCTGAGCGAGAGACGTTGGGATTGAGGGAATGGGTGACTGATATAGAGTCTGAGTGAAAGGATGAGAAGAAGAAAGGGATCAGCGCGCACATGGAAATGAAAGTGGATTTGGATCCTCAAAATACCCCGTTTATTTGTGATTCTGTGTTCTTAATTAACAATCATTTAACCAGTTCAGTGGTTAAACTACATTACAAAGTGATTGCATAACAAAGCACGAGAACTATGACAAGGGGATTTCCAAGATCCCTGCAGGCAGCACTTTAATATCTATGCGCCTTTACGCATAGCGGTCGCTCAAACTGCAATAATTAAATGAAGAGCCATCTGATGAAAATTTTGGAGACGTAACTATCCAAACAGTATTCTTTTTGGATTGTCCCTCGGTACAGTGAAGCGCTTACCGTTTGGTCTGCGCTGGAAACAGGTGGTCGCTCGCAGGGATCAGTGCGGTTTATCCGCCGGTGTGTTGTTGTTTGTCGATGGTTAGTCGCTCATGTCAGGAGTCTATTCCCCAGCGCGTCCGAGGCGAGGTGGTTTCCAGCCAGACAACTAGCTTTCTAGTATGCGGAGACCTGGTAGTGTAACCCCACTGAAACGCAAATAAACAACTTAATCACCTTAATAGCCTTGACAGAATTGAGACGGTCATTTCGATGATGGTTGTGTGTTTGTTATGCGGTGCGCGCCTCAGACAAGTTGTGTAGCCTAACCTTAATGAATTAGTCACCATGAGCGCTTTTACATGCAGTAGGCTATAGGCTAGGCTACTTATCCTTGGCTTTATACTATATTTGTATATTCAAGTTCTTTATTTTAATTGAATGCTACCATATAAACTGAAATCGCGTGAAACAAAGTAAACAAGGTTAACATTGGCAGAAGAGCAGGGAATGTGGTGGTGGTGGTGGGGGGTGATAAACATGCATCATATGTGTATCATATGTAGCCTACATCATATAGGTACATCATATCTCTCAAAAGTCGTAAATTCGTTTACAATTTAGTATTGAGCTAGGCCTTAAAACTATATTTTGAAACTATAACTTTAGGCCTAGCTACTATAAAAACACAATGACATGTTATACGAGATTATATTTTGGCGACTGTATTCCTGTTTGGCGACACTTAGTGTCATTACATTAGCACACGTTAGCTTTGTGTATGCCTGTTCCTGGGAATAAAACCGACCTTGGTGTTATGTACTGTGATTTCAATTCATAATTTCATTCCTTATACTTAAATTATCATAATTTTAACAACACTGTACCGTGATATACACATATTTTCTTTATAAACAATACATTTTCGCGGTAAATTATAAAGTAATTCACCCTTTTTCCATTAAAATTAAACAAATTGCCTTGGTAACTTGGTAAGTCAAATTTTTTAACATTACCACAGCGTGCGCCTTCTTATCCTTAAAAAAAAAAAAAAAAACTTCACATGACACAAACTTTAGCATTTGTTCACTTCAGCATCAACCGACCTTCCAAATTTCAGTGTAGCTCTCCGTTAGTTGAAATCTTTTGTTCAGACGGACTTTTAGTGGTCTTCTCTGGCTCCTGCAATACAGGTTTCTCTCCGTTCGTTGCTCCTGTATTGACTAAATAAAACAGTCGCCCTCACGATCTGTTTTCAATAAACAGTCAGTTCCCGTTTGGCACTGGTTTGAGCTGTTAGGGAATGGAAATAGCTCTCGCTTCCTCCTAAGACACAGAACCCCTATGTGTCCTGCTCTGTTCAAACTGATCTAGTGTCCACGTACGTCTCCTCCGCTGATGACCGTCATTGTAATGAATTCCTCTCGTGAGTGGTTCCTCTTGTCATCTCTCCACTAATCGCTGTTGACTATGAATGAATGCGCTGCTCAAAGTTCAATGAAGAGAATAGAGGAGGAGCAGGTGACGGTGTTTCGCCGCTCAGGATGTGAGGGTCAGAATGAGCGTCCTCGTATCAGCATCAGCATCAGCATCAGCATCAGCTGCTGTGTCGAGGGTGGGGAGAGAGAGAGAGAGTGCCACATACATGACTTGGTCTACATCATTCGTAAAAACTGCTTAGGCTTTGTGCGTTTCTACAGCGGATGTTAATGAGTAATACAATTAAAGATGCAGTGTTCTTATTTTAAAATGAGAAAAGTTGTACACATATGGAACAACTGTTCATCTGTGCAATAACATTAATTAAAATAAAATGACCTCCATTACACTCCCATTAAATGCCACCAGTCATGCCAGTATTCTCTTTATTCTGCATGGAGCTGATCTCCCTCTCATGGGTGCTGCCATGTTGACAGCACATGATGTGCTAAAATAATAATAATAATAATAATAATAGTAATACTAATAGGGACTTTTATATTACACTTTTAGTCACTTCTCTGTGCTCATGGTGCTTACAAAGCAGAAACACACACACACACACACACACATATATATATATATATATAGTACGAATTGAATGTGCATAGTTCATACATCCAGGCCAATAGGTGTCACTATAAAGTCAAAAACAGCTGTTACTATAAGGACAAATATTACTTTAATTTTGTAATAGAGCCTTGTAAAAAATGTGGTTATTTTTGTTCTGCAGAGAGTCCAAACAGTCAATACCAGACTATTGCTCCAGTAATTGGAAGCGGTTATTTTGCCAGCAGTTAGCCTATTTTTTCCCGTTTAAAGTAATCCAGTAATATGTCATAAATACAGCAAAGCCCTTTAAGCCGTGACTTCACTATACAGCAAACAAACTCACACATTTTGTTTGTAGAAAGATTAATGGCAGGTCCCAAAACAGTTATTAGGACAAACACCCCCACCCTTCAGAGTGAGAAGGTATTGATTAGGCTGTGATGGATTGGCTTTTTAATTGTCAAGCATGATGCAAGTGTTCAGATTAATGGTTTACCTAGTGCTGCACATGCACAACACTTTCAGTGGCCATGGATTTGCTTGTTCAAGTGCGGATATTTACATGAGATTTAGTTAATAAGGGACCGAGAAACACTAACGTATGAATGCACACACACTCTTGTCTAATTAAATATTGAGCCCTCTAAACTGATTCAGTCCTGCTATGCCAGTTCTTGGATCCAAATCACTGCACATCGCTTTAATGTCTAAAGATGTGTGAACCCTATACACATCCATCTCCCTGAATGTTGTGTCATGTTTAAATTACGGTTTGCAGTATTCTTAAAATGGAACTATTCGGAACTACCCAGCCTTATCTCACCAATCTATAGCTGCATTTCTGTGCTAGGAATCATCAAGTCCACATGAAGCACCCGGTGCTTGGTGGTCCATATAATAGACTGGAAGAAGAGAGGAGGAAAAGATTGCCAGTGCCAAAAGCTGCCAGCAACCTCCATTCATCACTGGTGTTTGTGATTACAGCCTGAACTCTATCACACAGAGGACATATATGGAGTGGCATGGCTACATTAAAGGGTACAGTAAAGGAGGAGAGATTGGAAAGAGGGTTGATAATGACAGAGGGACAGAAAAACAGGGGGAGAAAGAGAGAGGGCATAAAGGCCGAATAAGATCTGTGGTAGGTCTCTTTTGAGTGCTAAGGCGGGGTGCCTGAGATCTAGTTCAATTGTTGTTAGTGAGGGCTCAGCTCTGAAAGCTTTGACTGACAGTTCAAATCACATTCAGAGAGCTTTGCTTGACCAGTCGTGACTTTGGTCTGGATCAAGGCAGGTTATATTCTTTATATTTTTCAGACATCTCTGTGTGTCTGGATGGGGCCTAGAACATTTTACATAGCGCTGGATCTTCATCTTGTGCAGTCTTACAGATGGGTGAGTCAGCTGCCATAGATGCCAGAAATATCCCAGTTAAAAGGTACCCTCCATAAGGGCGAGGCAGGGTGCGTGTATATAACGTCTGAACAGATAAATTATTGAAGTCTGAGTGTTGTTATTTGTGCTTTAAACACTATGTTTTTAATGTTTGTCTGTTTGATTTAATTTACCCTGAATATTATTGTTCTGAAGGATAATCTCTCTGTGGTTCAGCCACTGAGAGAAAAAAAATGTTAAAGGAGGTTAAAATTATGTAACATTGTGTGGTGATAAGACAGAGCCATACAAAATTTCAATAAAATCTACAAAAAAAATACATATAGGTCTATACAGGATATAAATAATGGAGTCGAAGTAGAGGAATGGGGGACTAAAAGAAAGAGTGAGGTAATCTGCGTACAACTTGTAGATGAGCTCTATTCAATGTCATTCCTCTCTAACGCCAGTACAAACTATTCATTTATTTGTTTGTTTGTTTTAAACAAATGTAATAAAACTGGTCAATCAATGTTTAGGATAAAATAGAAATGTCAAATAGTTAACTGATGGAAATGTAATTTCATATTGCTAACATTTGTCACATATTATTGATTTATTTATTTGAAACATTTTAATAACTATTTTACATTAGGCAGCTAAGCAGGCATTTTACATATTGTGGCCTGCAAGGCTACTTTATTTATTTAAATAGTTTCTTATGTATTATTTATTTATTGTTTTTTGTTTGTTTGTTTGTTTACATTTATTTATTAGTATTTAAACAAACCACTTACTTTCCACTACGAAGTGTATTTCCTGGTGGAAATGTAAATTTACCTTCCATAATGCAACATTTGTTTATTTATTTATTTATTTAACAACTAATTAATAGCCGATATGTTGGGGAAAAGAAATCCTCTTATTAGGTTGCAGAGCAGCAGACATGAAAACTGTAGTAATAGCGCCCTCTGATGGTCATCATCAGTTTAACAACAACCGCGTCTCGTGTTCTAGAGAGTTCTAGGTGCATTGTGGGTACCTCACCCGGCAGCGTCCTCCTCTAGCCTGCAAACATGATGGTGAGTGCTTTTTCATTACTGTTTTGCCTTCAAATCCATCGTCATCTGAACTTTTGTCGCATTTCCTAGTGCTGGGAGATAAACGTCCAGGGAGAATAAAACACAAAGGACATGTTTGTGAGATCATTTCTGTTTTAGATAAGATAATACGCCTAAAGGTTTACATTGATGCTAGTTAGCTTGGTGGCTAACGATTCATTCTTCTGTATGAAAGTGACTGGCAGAATTACGACGCGATGTGCAAAAGTCGACTCTGTACGTTTTATATTTCACTATATTTTCTTTATTAGTTTTAATCCGTGTGGTTGCTAAATGATGCCAGAGGCTTTAGTTTAGCATAATTTCGGTAAAGGAGAAAGAGCTAATGAACCGGTTACACCTTCAATACTGTTCGTCTCTTTAGTTGCTATGATAAACCTGTGACTTTATAAAACATTTTTTTAATTTTCCGAATAAAGACCTTTATTTTTAGTACGTAGACACACACACACAGAGAGATTAGTGTTATTCATGACATACATTTTTGTGCATGACAGCAACTGCAAAAACTAAGACAAGAGCGGGTATTACTGTTATTTATAATAGCGTTATAATATGTCTCTGTGTGTATATAAAGAGAAAAAGAGATATTGGACGTATGTATGCAAAAGTTGTATAAGTAAATATCACAGCACTTTATTAATTAACTTATATAACGTTAAATGGTCAATACACTGGCTGTGTGAGAACTGTCAAAAGTCTCCCATGGTCATGGAAAACCTTTAAAAAATCAGTGATTTAAAAATTGTGATATACAGGCTTAGAAAGATCATGGAAATTAGCACAATTGCATAATATTGTGAATGTATCTATTTGAAATAATGTTGTTGTTTTTTCTAGTTTGATCTGTTCTTAAAAATATTAAAAACTTCTAATGGAATTCAAAAGATGGTGTAGTTATGATATAGTGATTCCTAAACATCTCCCCTCAGCCCACTCCAGTCATCCTCCTGAAGGAGGGCACAGACAGCTCTCAGGGGATCCCACAGCTCATCAGTAACATCAATGCCTGCCAGGTTGTGGCAGAGGCTGTGCGGACCACCCTCGGCCCCCGTGGCATGGACAAGCTTGTGGTAGATAACAGAGGTAAGTCTGAATTTCTATACAAGTGTTGTTTGATTGGGAAGGACTCAGACTGTTATACTATGATATTAACATTTTTATGCTGTGATTTACATGACGTTATCTTGCAGGCAAAGCCACTATTTCTAATGATGGAGCCACGATTCTGAAGCTTTTGGATGTTGTACACCCTGCAGCCAAGACTCTGGTAGACATTGCCAGATCTCAGGATGCTGAGGTAAGTTTGAAACTTTCTGTGGGTATATTTATACTGCTTCAAAAGGTAGTTACTAGTTAGTTAGGTAGATGGTTTTAGTTCTCAGTGTTGATTGATTGACAATATTATATTATAGATATGCTATGAAACACCTGTTCAACTAATTATTGACTACAAAGCACATATTTATAAAATGTTCTGTTATAGTTTTAGCCTCAGAATCTATATTTTGTAGCAGAAGGATAGCACTTTACATTTTTTAATGATACATTTTCTTTTTTCTTTTTTTTTTACAAAAGCAGTTGTGCACTTAAGACAGTATTGTGAATGTAAACATGACTGAAGGAGCCTGTTATGTCTGTTTCTTAATTAGAAATTTTATTTTTTAAACAAGATGGGCGCAATTTGCATAATTATCTTATGGCTCTTTAAATGCACTAGAGTGTATCATCTACATTGTGTGTGTTTGTTTAGGTTGGTGATGGCACCACCTCAGTGACTCTGCTTGCTGCTGAGTTTCTGAAGCAGTTAAAGCCATATGTAGAGGAGGGGCTTCACCCCCAGACCATCATCAGAGCGTTCCGCATCGCCACACAGCTCGCTGTCAAAAAGATCAACGAAATCGCTGTTACCATCAAAAAGGATGACAAGCAGTGAGTCCTGACCCTGTGTGCAGTTATGTATTATAGTCATGTGTTATTATCATATAAATGTCACAGAGCTAATCATTTGTCCTCTGTTGCTACCACAGAGAGCAGAGG